CTGACTTGAACATCTAGCCTGACACAGTGAACCTTGTTCGTGCCTGTCCTCCCCCAGCCTCTGTCCACCGTGTGTGCGCTGTGGCTGCTTCTGTGAATAGGATGAATTGTACTGCTGAACCATCCAATTACTTCAGGCATCCCAGACTAGTGTGAGCTCCCCTGTGTAGAGAGTCTGGCTTGTGAGGGCATGCACAGGTCACATGTAGGCTGGCCCTGCATCAGTGTTTGGCTCCTGTCTCTGCTGATATTTAGCTGGGCAGCTTCCAGGAAACAAGAGAACTGCCACCACTTCCTGTATTGTGTGCCTCTGTCTCTCCATGAGTCATATGAGCACTGTCAGAGATGTGGGTGCTATGGACATTTGGGTGTGCAAGAACCTGAGTTGCAAAGATCTTTCTAAATTCTGATATAGGGGAGCTGACATGGCTAGCTGGCCATGGCTGGGTTTGCCGATGTGCTCATACAGAATTAATTCCCTAATGGGCTTCATTCATATGGCTCCTGTGTCAGCCCAGGCCCAGGTTCCTCAAGGCGGGGTGGTACTGTGGCCCTCGAGGACAGTGTGCATGCTAGGCTAAAGGAGCACAGCAGAACTGTGTCCTGAAGGGAGCCTCTTGTGGCAGGTTCCACAAGCTTAGGTATGTGGATCTCATTTGGAACCAAAGTGGATGACTAGACAGACTGGCACCTTGGCTTGGGGGTGTTTGCAGGTGCCCAACTCCCCCAGCTCACAGGAGGCCAGCTAGGGCAGATGTCATCTCAGAGTCCCCACTCGTCTTCTGCTGGTCTGTAATAAATACCCAGAGACTTGCACCTTTGGACAGTGTTCATCTGTGACCTCACAGATGAGGGGTTCGTGGTGTGGGCCTCACCTTGCCGGGACCTGTGCTCCAGGTTTCCTGGGCTGTCAACAACTCTCAACCTTGCTGGGACCCTCTGGAGCCCAGGGTCCTCTTCTAAGCTCATCTGGTGCTTGGGAGAGCCTCACTTTCTTGGGGTTATAGGACTGAGGCCTCATTCCTGCTGGCTGTCACCTGGGTGCCGCGCTCTCCTGGTGTGTGGGGGTGCGGGCTTCTCCCACGTGGTAACCAGCTTTCTCAAGGCCAGCAAGAGCCTCTCTGACTCTTCAAGGCCTCACCTAATTAAAAGAAGCCCCTCAAGCATGATCTCCCTTTTGCTCAACTCAAGGTCAGCTGATGAAGGACTAATGTTTGGGTAGTGCTCTCTGCCTATAATGCTATGATGTTCACAGGCCAGCCCACAGGCAAGGGGAGGGGACTGTACAGGTGTCTGCACTGGGGCCTACTTGTAGGATGTGCATACCAGTGTGGTCAGCAGAGTTCTGGGACCCTCCTGAAAGACTCTGCCAGCCGTGCTCCCCTCTCTCTCGGCCCCTCCAGTGCTCTTGTCCTTATTTCAGACCTTTCCCCAAACCTCTCCGTTCCTCCTTGCCTGAGTTGATGGACTAGAGATGCTGCCAAAACTCTTGCCTGGTCTCTACCACCTTAGAAAGGAACCAGCAGGCCCAGAAGCCACATGCCTTCCCATCCAGGGCAGGCCTTGGGCATAAAGAGCTTTCTCACCCTCCAGCTTTGGGATCTTTTTATAGACCCCAAGCAGCCCTTTAGGACATATAACTGGTGTGGAACCTTCAAAATGGCACAAAGTACCAAAGTTTTGATTTGTTGGCTGTGACAAGGTGGCACCCTACCACTGAGCTGCATCCCCAGCTCCAGATAAGGTGTTTGATGCCCTTTGACTTAAAAGACATAGATTTGGATTGATTACAAAACCACATGAGCAAAGTGTTAATCGAGTAAATTACTTGGGAATTGGGGGAAAAACTTCCTTGTGACAACAGGTCATCTGTGATCAATAGTGAAGATTAGAATTGAAGAAGATCAGGTTGTAAAGTCCTGAATCTTAGTATGGCAAGGGGTGGGAAGGCTTAGGCAGGAGGATGGAGAATTTGGGGCTGGCCTGGGTTACATAGATAGCAAGACCTTAAGGCAACAAAAAGCAAACAGGAAGGATCAATTTACATTATGACACGTGTATGGTCAGGGATGTGGGTATCCAGGTTACCTCCAGGTGGGGAGTGTGCAGCTCAGGGGGCCTGGCACAGGACAGGTGTGAGCCAGGCGCACTCAGGCCCTTGGTACTGGCTGGCCCCACTGGCCAGCCGCTGGCTGTCTGGGAGTCGTACGTTAAGATGACCCAGGGAACAGTGAGACAGAAGAGTGGAGAGCTGTGGGTGGAAGGTTATGACTGTATACCAAGAAAACACCTGCAAAGAAGGCAGAATTTGTTTGACACCAGGGAACCTAAATTCTGGACCACGCTGCTTTTTACCTCCCTCACTGCTGAGCTGCTTGAGATAAGACTAAACTCAAGGTCTGTGAGACACGCAGCAGGAGTACCCTGTGACCCATGGGTTGGTCCGATCAAGGGTATTCGCCCATAGAGCATGGCACAGTTCTGCTGGAGGCCAGAAGATCGTTAGACAAAAGATAGCTTTTTTTTTTTTGAAGCAGTTCATTACAGCTTTAACATACTCAGTGACATCAATAACAGTTTCCAGAGCAAAGATACATCTCTTTCAAAAGTGGCTATAAAATTTTTAGGTTCACTGTTGAATTAATACAGTCATACAATATTGAACTCAATATAAACCCTGTAAGACATAAAATTGAATGAGTTTTTACCCTTTAAAGAATTGCCTTAGGTCCCCCTCCTCTTTTTATTTTCCCTTGAGACTGTGTTTCACTGAGTTGCCAGGGTGACCTTGGCGTTTGATTACCTGGGTGTTGGCTTACAGGTGTGCACCACCCCAGCATGTCCTGAGCAGCATGGTGACCAAGGGCTCCACCAGTGAGCCACAGTAGCCTTTATATTGTCTTAATTTACAATTTTTTCTTACTGCTCATTTAACCAGTTTTAGATTTCGTTATAAGTTACAACTTGCAACATAAAAAACGTTCATTTTTATGACCTACAATTGGAAAGTGCTGATGTAGAAGGCAGTGCACACATTCCTTTATATTTATTATTATTTT